GAGAAACTCCCCTCAGGAAAAAATTCAGGAGATGAAAATATTACTCCTGTTTGGCTATTTTTTCAGAAACCAAACCTTCACTATATTATTCAGCATACTTGATTACATTGATTCTATCAATATTCAGCTGGTTTAGACGCCATCTTCATTATGTTTAAAAGGTCACTAATACTATGTGATATTTTAATCTGATTTTTTACAATTTTGACCCTGTTTGGCGATTTTTTCAGCGATCAAATTTTCACTATATTATTCAGTACCCTTGATAACATAGATCACGAATAGAATCGACTGGCTTAGTGACCTCTTTTAACTTGCTGAAAAATGCAACCTTCGAATCATAATATGAACTTTTCTTCCGAACGCGTTGTTTTTACAAAAAACGAAACAGATATTCGTAGTCAGCATAAAAAGTTACATTGAAATAATTTTATTTCATAAAAATATTCCAAGAGGAGATTTTCCCTATTCATTTGCAGGTCCTCCTTATCTCACATTAGATTGCGAAAAGAACTGGTTTTGTTTCTTCAATTTTTTCATCTCAATCGTTACCATGATCTAATGCAAGATTTATGCATGCATATTGTGGGTCACAATCCAGATAAAATTCAAGAAAATTATTCTGATTGTAGTGATTACGAGAAGTAAAGTTGGATACAAATCGCTGACTTTTATTTATTTTTTCAAGATTTATAGGCATTTCTTCATTTATTAATTATGGGAAGATTACAGTTATGGACAAAGTATCGCAAATGCGAGTTCTTCGTCTTAAGTATCGAGTTGATGTCTTAAACTGACAAGATTTGATGATTGTCTTTCCAACTGGCTTCTAAAGCCATAATAAAAGGACTCCAATGGCGCAGCACTATGTCTCGAATATATATTATATATATCTGAAGAACTCTTTTTTGGATTCCTCAATTCATTTGCCAACAATGTAACAACTTTCGGTGGAAATACCTCGACGTATTGCATATCAACTCCAATATCAAAATCATCTTCGTCATTTGCATGTAACAATTTAAACTTCAAGCTGTCGATTATTTTATATGCTTTGTATGCGTTATCATGATCAGCAAATACACTGCAAATTTTATCTTCACATGCAATGTAAGCTAAACAGTCATTTTGTTTCAGATGCATTCCGATTATTGAGATCATTCCACGTGTAAACTTAACATCAGGATTGGTTGTTATCTTGTAAAAATATTCTAGTTTCTTCATCAGTTCTTCATCTGAAACATCAACATCTGATTTCGATTGAACTGTAGATGAATTTGAATCTATTTTATCCTCTTGATTTTTGTTTTTTATTATTTTTTCGTCAACTTTTCCTTTGTCGTTAATGACATAGTACTTGGAGGTGTAGGAAAAACACTGTTTGAAGTTATTTATTTTATCAAACTCTGTAAAATAGGGAACTTTAGCGGGTTTTAAGTTATTGATGGAGTTGCGAGCAGAGTTTGCTTCATACCAGGAATTGTACACCAAATAGACTGCATCATCTTCTGCTGTGACAGCAAGTGGAATAACTTGGCTAAAATGCACCAAAATTTTAACAATCTGTTCGGGCGATAATTTAACCCAGGACATCAAATCACGAAAATTTGCATAGACAGCAATGTAGTAAAGCGCTGCATTACATTCTTGTTTTTCCGTTCGTTGCAAACTTATTCGTTCTATGATCCGTGGTTTAGTGATCAGCTCAAAACATTGTAATTGGCTCGAACGAAATGCGAATTTATAAGCATTACCAACTAAATCATACAAATTGATAGATTCCAAAAGTTCACTGGAAGGCCTGGCTGTTGAGATTTGGCCGCTTGAGCGCTTGAGACTTTGTCGTTCTTTGAAATGCTTTGCCTTTGAAACATTTTTGGACAACTTGATATTATCTAAAATTTTACGTACTTCTCTCTCCGATTCATTACAAGAGAGTTCATCAGGAAAACCAATCCAAAATTCGTCTATAACGAATTTGATGAAAATACATCTACCGTATTCTGCAAATGATTTCCAGATTTCCATGAACTCGATGTGAATCTGATCGCCAACTTTTACGACAAGACAGTGTATGTCAAGTTCTGCGCTTAAACACCAGGGAATGCTAAACTTATATCGATCCAGTTTCTCTGAAATTTGTTTGTTGAGGTCTTGTTCGTTTACGAATTTCAACGGCAGAAGCTTGAGTGAATCAATTTTTTGTAAAACTTCTTGATAAAGTGAGACAGAATCGAAGTGAGCACAATAAAGATTTCCATCAAATATAACTTTTTTTGCTCCATAATCGTATAACTTCTCAAACAGATCATAAAGTAGCGACCATTTGGTTGATGCATATGGCCTAGTACGTGATGCTTCTATCCTTCGAAAGAATATATTCCAACCATTAGCACCTTCGTTATCTACTGGAGAAGTTGCTTCAATTGAGACTTTTTGTTCACACGATTCAACAGTGTATTGGTTTTCATGGTAACTTGATGCCAAATCAACCGGTGGATCAGCAATAATTGCATCTGGATACTTTATTTGAACTTTTGAAAGGCAAGCTTGTGCATCAGATTTAAATGAAGAGACAATCCAAAGAAAAGGTTTCCTTGATAAAATACATTGACTGCTTGATTTTGTACTACAATCGATGCAAAATTTAATAATTTCGCTTTCATCAGCTTTATTGGAATTGTTCATCTTGATAAATGTTAATCGTTTCACGCCACTATAGCTTTCAGTCTGCACAGGCTTAATACATTTCAATATTTCAGTTAGAGGTGAGTCTGCTAACAATTCGGTCTCTAAAAAAGCTCCATGAAAATGCCATCCATTATATTTCCATTTGGCCATTTTAGCATGACATAAAGTAGGAAATCCAATACAAATTGAATCACCAATTAAAATAGCACTGTTGCGGATACTTTCAGTAATCTGGTAATACAAATCATTCATAACAATGTTGATGTCCATGTTAAGAGGATAATTTTTGATTGATATGAAATACATTGGGGCAACAGGTGTCATCAGCTTAAATGTACGAGCATCCAATAAGAATCTGTAGTCAGATATTTGATCAAGTTTTCTTGACATACGGTCTTCTTCTAAATTAACAATATAAATTGTTGCATTATGAATCTTCTTTAGATAACACAAAGTGTTATAATAATCATCATCATAACTTATTAATATAATTGTACAATCTTGTCCAGCAAATCTTGCAAATTTTCTCATCAAAAACACTATTTTAATATCAGCTGAATCGCTGTAAGCTGGAACAATTTCAACGTCCAGAGATGTAAACAGCTCAACATTTAAAGGTAAACTATTAACATTACAGACACAAAAGAAAAACATTTCACTTAAATTGTAAGGTTTAATTATATCTGATCGAATGCTGTGCACAATAGAATCAATTGATTTGTCTTTTGGTACATTGGAATTTTGAATATCCCAAAACACAGCACAAGGTTTAGCCATTTTAACTACTTTCAACACTTGATGCAAAAATCAACGTTTTTCTCATCAATTAGCTTCATTAGGTTAAATGAAGAGGCATTTTTTGAAAAATAACTTTATCGTATCCTAATATCCTAGTCATGTACAGGATTTCCTGGAATTTTCTGCCTTTTTAAAGTGCTGACATCTATGTGAACTAAAGGGGGAAATAATTAAATTTTGCAGTTTAACAATTAGCACGGTTTAGTGATTCCCCTTTAGCCTTTCTACCAAAGAGTTATGCAACAAGAGAAACCGTTGAAGCAAATTTTGTAAAGTTGAGAAAAAAGTTCATTTGGTCACACCTAGATGTCACTAGGAGTAGATCAGCACCACAAAGAGTAACGCGAGGGAATCTGATTCAGATTTCACTATCGTAAAGAATTGCACTTTTTTCAATTTTTTCAATGACCTGAGAATTCAATTTATTCATAGCTTATATTATGAAGCTTCTTTGGATCACTCAAAGTACCATAATAATCAGCATCGCCACTTTACAATAGATCGTATTATCATAATATAAATAATATGCCAATTTTTAACTTTTTACTGACGTGAGGATGGTCTAAAATGTTAGCCTTGATAGTCTATCAATGATAGACGAAACTTATACTGTATAAGTTATACATTTCCTATGCTTTAATGGACCATTAGTAATGGTTGATAGTACCTGGGTATAAATAAGGTACTGATGGCTAATCAATGATTGCAACACTACACCTAAGCCCAAATATCTTTACTAATTACCCTTTAGACCTGAAGGAACATGAAGGATTCGTCAAAATACGCGTTTATTAAGAGTTTATAAGATTTCATTTTAAAAGCATTTCATTGCCATTTTCATTTTCATTCAAAAAAGTTTGAAGTTATGTTCTGAGAGTCTGAGTTACAGTATTTTTTGGGTTTGATTCCTACTGCTTCTCTGTGACAATAATTAAAGTATCCTAAAGGAACATATGGGTGAATATAGCCATTAGTTGCACTTGGCTTTTCACTTTTGATTTGCTCTCCACTTGATATCCTTTTACAGACCATTAAGGCCACGCATAGAGGAATTTGGTCCATGTAATTTATTCGTTCTTCTACTACACCTCCAATAGTTAAATCATGCTCGTCATTCTCATGTAATAATTTGAACTGTAAATTACCCATTCTAACCTTTGGTATGTGTCCTTTGACTAAATCCTCAACTTCAACCCAAATTTTATCTTCAAATTCAATGTAAACTGTGTAGCCAATTTCTATCAAATTCATTTTGATTATTGAGCTCATACTTGGAGTGAATTTGATCCAGTTTTGGGTGAAATCACAAGATAATATTGTGGATATAATGATTGATTTATGATTGAATTGGGAGCATAAATACTAAGCCAAGGTTTGCTATCTTGCACTGGATTGACCATTGTCGAGGTTGCATCGGTTTCATTAAAGCCATTTTTTGTTTGAATAATTTTCTCAAGTACCTTTCGTTGATCATTAATGATATAAAACTCACGAGTGGTGAACCATGCATCTGATTTCTCCACTAGTGATGCTTTCATTCTCGGTTGCAGACAACAGACTTCATCATATCTTAAATTATTGATGAAATGACATGCTGTGGCTGCTTCAACCCATGAATTGAAAACGAAATCAACCTGCGTCATTGATGCTATTCCAGCAATGGGAATAACTTTTGCAAACTTGACAAGGAGTTTGATTATTTGGGAAAGGTTTAATTGAGGATAACAAGACGAGCATATGTACATCAGACCTTGAACCTGCACGAAAAACTCGAATTGACTCGAGATGAATTAGATTGTGTGATGAATTTTGTAAATCTACATTTCTATTACAGAATCAATTTTGATTGTAAGCTGAAGATTCTCGAGTTCAAAGGTTCTGATGCATAGTACACTAAGACTTTCGTTATGCATTTCATAGATAGCTTATCGGCGTTCAATAAGGAAAAAACTTCACACAAATTGAATTGATGTAGATAACAGTTCGAATTTATTCTAAAAACAAATATTGTACAAACATACAATTCATTTGTTAATTCAATGAAGTCATTGAATAGGTTCATTTGGTATTTATTGGACAGAGTTTATTGCTAATGATATGTATTTGTAATCTTATGCGAAATATTGATATAACAAATGAAAGATCAACCTGATTTATTTAATTTACAATACTCGCTGATTGCCATTCCAACTGCTTTTCTGTAACTATAATTAAAATGATCTAATGGGACAACATCTGAGATCGAATGTGTATTATTAATAAGCGATTTCTTTAAATCCATATATTTATTTACCGTCATATTGACAAGTTCAGTCGAACTAATATGGCCTGATTGCATTGTAACTCCAACTTCGTAATCATCATCATCCTTTTCATATAACATTTTGAACTTAATCTGGTCAATTTTAGCTTTTGCTTTTTTTCCTTTCTCTAAATCACCAACTGCAACCAAAATTTTATCTTCAGATTCACCGCAAACTTGACAGTCCATTTGTGCCAAATTCATTCTGATTATTGAGATCATTCCAGATGTAAATTTAAAATCAGAATTCGGTGCGATGAAAAATAAATATTGTAGTTGTTTTATGATTATCAAAAGAAACTGAAAAAACAGTGATGATAATTCGTACTCCAATTGACGATCCCCCAGACTTTTGTTTTCTACAATCTTCTCGAGAACCTTGCGTTTGTCATTTATGATATAGTACTTGAAGATGCTTGGAAACGCTAACTGCTGCTGTTGCACTTCACTTGCTCCATTAAACTCGGTAAAATAAGGAACTTCAGTTGATGTTAAGTGATTAATGAAATGATGAGCAGCGAATGCTTCATACCATGAATCGAACATCAAATTGACTTCATCATACGAAGCTGTAGCCGCTACTGGAATAACTTTACTAAGTTTTACAAAAATTTTAACAATTTGTCCGAGTGATAGTTTAACCCAATCCTTAAGATTACGAAAGTTTCCCTTGACATTAATACTGAATACTGTCTCATTACCTTCTTGTTTTCTTGTCCTTCGGTGAAGACTTATTTTTTCCATAATTTGTGGCATTTGAATTGACCTGGAACTTTCTAGTTGACTCGAAAGAAATGCTAAATCATAAGCATCACCAACCAAATCTTCAAAATCAACAGATTCCAAAAGTTCAATGGAAGGTTTGTGAGTTGAAAGATCATTTGGGTACTTGAGACTGGCTAATCTGAGTACTAATATTGCAGAGTTTACACAAATAAGTTCATTGGGAAAACCAATCCATATCTCTCCTGGAGTTGATTTAATGAAGATACATTCACGATTTCCTAGAATATCCTTACTGATCTTTATGAAAAGATGGTGTAAGCGAGACGAAATTTTTACCACAAGACAGTGTATGTCAAGTTCTGTGCTCAAACACCAAGGAATTCCATATTATATCGATCCATTTTCTTTTTAACTTCTTGTTGGTTGGGAATTTTTGACAAGGGTACGAATTGTAAAGGTTCTAAATAACGTGAACCCATTTGGGCGAGAGCATCTTGGTAAGCAGAAGCAGAATCGAAATGAGCACAATAAAGATTTCCATCAAATATAACATTTTTCGCACCCAAATCGTATAACTTCTCAAATAGATTATAAAGAAGCGACCATTTGGTTAATTGATAATGTAGCACAGGAGCAATAGAATTAGAATTAAATCGAAAAAATATTTTCGAATCGCTATCATCACAATTATCAAGGCTGACAGCATTGCTAGACTCTGTTTTCGTTGATTTTTCTAAGGTTACTGATTCGTTTGCTTCTTCAGGTTTGACATCAGCACAACTGGCGTTACTCGAGCTTTGGTTTTGGGAAAATGCTACCTTTTCTGGTTTTGATGCAGCTATGTTAGAACGTGTTTCATCTGCGACTTTTATTTTGCATGATTCAACAGTGTATGGGTTTTCGCGATATGCTAATGTCAGGTCAATCGGTGGTTCAGATATGACTGCATCTGGATAAATTATTTGAATTTTTGGTAAAAACTTTGTTGCATCAGATTTGAATGAAAAGACTATCCAAAGATATGATTTTCTTGATAAAATACATTGACTGCCTGACTGTTTAGTACAAGCGATACAGTATTTAATAATTTTGTTTTGATCGGCTTCATTAGAGTTAATCATCTTGATGAATGTTAATTGTTTCACTTTGTTATATCTTTTAGTCTTCATAGTCACATTAGGCTTTAAACATTTTAATATTTCAGTAAGAGGTGAGTCTACTATCAATTCAACCTTTAAAAACATTCCATGAAACCGAGATCCATTGAATTTTTCGATGGCTTTCTCAGCATTCCACAAAGTTGGGAATCCAATACAAATCGCTTCGTCAAATAGAATCGCACTACTTTGGATACTTTCAGCGATCTGGCTGTTCAAAGTAGCCATAACAAAGTTTATGTCCATTGTAAGAGGATAGTTATTGACTGAAATGAAATACTTTGGTGCACCTGTTGATTTGATCGGCTTTAATACACCATCATTTAAAATGAATGTGTAGTCGGATATTTGATCAAGTTTAGGTGAAAATGCATTAGCTAATCTGATAAGATGAATGGATATATTATGAAGCTTCTTTAGATCACTCAAAGTACCATAATAATCAGCATCACCACTTAACAATATAATTGAACAATCTTGTCCAGAAAATTTAACGAATTTTCTCATTATGTCCAATATTTTAATATCAGCTGAATCCTTAACTCCATTGTAAGCTTGAACAATATCAACATCCAGATTCGTCAATGACTGGCCAACATTGGAAGGCAACTTATGAACATCACAAACACAAAAGAAAAAGATTTCATCCAAATTGTGAGGTTTAATTATAGTTGATCGAATCAGATTAATGATTGAATTAACTGATTGTCCTTTTGGTATTCCAACATTTTGAATATCCCAAAACACAGCACATGGTTTAGCCATAATTATAAGAGAATTATTTATTGCAATTTATTTTCAAGACAAAATACTTAATTGGCTGAACCAGGGATTAGTAACTCTACCAAACCATCTGAACCATTGAATTTTACTATCAAAATCAAACATCAACCAGAACTACAATCAATAAATATAAATGGGCGTAAACTGATTAGTGAATTGTATTATTATTAATAAAAGGGTGTTTCGGATAAAAATCGAAACTATCTTACCTAGATCATGAAAATAACTAACGCAAAGCAATATCTACATATTTTTTTCAATTTTTTATCGCCGTCGTTATCATCATGATCTAATTTAAGATTTATGCACACAAATTGCAGTTTTATCCGTTCCGTTCAATACATCATTTCAGCAGAAATATGAGCAAACATTATTTTAAATTACCACTAGCTATTCATTGTTATTCCAACTGACCATCTTTTCTATCAAATGGTGCTAATAGATATTTTTAGGTCAATCAGTTAAGGGCAAATATTAATCAGACGTTGACTATATTGCAAAAATTGTGTATAAGAGGAAATAGATCGATAAAAATTTTTATTTGAGGAAAGCTAAAAAAATTTTGACATGATACAATTATGGTTTTATAATGCTGATGCCGAGTCTCGGGCCACACTTTGCACTCTTTGACTGAATTCCTGCTCTTCTTTTCATTCATTTTTATTCTATTATAGTTAGAGATAAAGTATCGAAAACGCGAGTTCACCGTCTTAAGGATCGAGTTGATGTTTTAAACGGACAAGGTTTGACGATTGTTTTTCCAAATGCTTTCTGAACCCATAAAAAAAGGAGTCCAATGGCGCAGTAGTTTCGCTCGAATATATATTATATATATGCGAAGAACTCTTTTTTGGATTCCTCAATTCATTTGCCAACAATTCAGCAACTTTTGATGGAAATTGCTTTACTGGTTCCATTTCAACTTCAACATCAAAATCACCTTCGTCATTTTCATGTAGCAATTTAAACTTTAAGTCTTTGATTTGTTCTAATGCTTTGAATGCTTTGTCAAAATCAGCAAATCCAACCCAAATTTTATCTTCAAATTCAGTGAAAGCTAAACAGTCATTTTGTATCAGATGCATTTCGATTATTGAGGTCATTCCAAGTGTAAACTTAAAATCAGAATTGGTTGTTATCTTGTAACAATATTCTAGTTTCTTTACAATTTCTTCATCTGAAACATCAACATATGATTTTGATTGAACTTTAGATGAATTTGAAACTATTTTATCCTCTTGATTTTTGTTTTCTATTATTTTGTGACCAACTTTTCCGTTAATGACACAGTACTCGGAGATGTCGAGAAACCGCTTTTTAAAGTCATCTACTCTATGAAACTCTGTAAAACACGAAACTTTAGCGGGTTTTAATTCATTGATGGAATTACGAGCAGAAATTGCTTCATACCATGAATTGTACACCAAATAGACTGCATCATCTGTTGCTGTGGCAGCGAGTGGAATACCTTCGCTTAGATGCACCAAAATTTTAACAATCTGTTCGGACGATAATTTAGCCCAAGACAGCCAATTACGAAAATTTGCATAGACAGTAATGTAGTAAAACGCTGCATTACATTCTTGTTTTTCCGTTTGTAGCAAGCTCATTCGTTCTATAATCCGTGGTTTAAGGATCGGCTCAAAACATTGTAATTCGCTCAAACGAAATGCGAATCCATAAGCATTGCCAATTAAATCATACAAATTAATAGATTCCAAAAGTTCACTGGATGGCTTAGCCGTTGCGATTTGGGCGCTTGAGCAATTGAGACTTTGACGTTTTTTGCACTTTGCCGTCGAAACATTATCGATATAATACAAAATTCTACGTATTCGTTTTTCAGATTCATTACAGGGGAGTTTATTGCGAAAACCAATCCAAAATTCGTCTAGAACTAATTTGATGAAAATACATATGTCTCCTAAAGATTCCTTGCAGATTTCCAAGAACTCGATCTGAATCTGAGCGTCAATTTTAACCACAAGACAGTGTATGTCAAGTTCTGCGGTCAAACACCAGGGAATACTAAATTTATATCGATTCAGTTTCTTTGAAAGTTGTTTGTTAAGACCTTGTTCATTTACGAATTTCAATCCCGAAAAATGGATTGAATCAATTTTTCGTAAAACTTCTTGATAAAGTGAGACAGAATCGAAATGAGCACAATAAACATTTCCATCAAATATAACTTTTTTTGCTCCATAATCGTATAGTTTCTCAAACAGATCATAAAGTAGCGACCATTTGGTTGATGCATATGGCCCAGTAACAGATGACGTCCTTCGAAAGAATATATTCCAACCATTAGCATCTTTGTTATCTACTGGAGAAGTTGCTTCAATTGAGACTTTTTGTTCACACGATTCAACAGTGTATTGATTTTCGTGGTAACTTGATGTCAAATCAACGGGTGGCTTTGAAATGACTGCATCTGGATACATTACTTGAACTTTTGAAAGGCGATCTTGTGCAACAGATTCGTATGCGAAAGCAATCCAAAGAAAAGGTTTCCTTGATAAAATACATTGACTGCTTGATTTTGTACTACAATCGACACAAAATTTAATAATTTTGCTATTATCGACTTCATTGGAGTTGTCCATCTTGATGAATGTTAATTGTTTCACTTCCCTATAGCTTTCAGTCTGCACAGGCTTAATACATTTTAATATTTCAGTCAGAGGTGAGTCTGCTAACAATTCAGTCTTTAAAAAAGCTCCATGAAACCGCCATCCATTATATTTTGAGTTGGCCCTTTCAGCATGCCATAAAGTAGGAAATCCAATACAAATCGAATCACCAAATAAAATCGCACTATTCCGGATACTTTCACTAATCTGGTAATACAAATCATCTAAAACAATGTTGATGTGCATTTTAAGAGGATAGTTTTTGATTGATATGAAATACATTGGGGCAACAGGTGTCATCAGTTTAAATGTGTAATCATCCAATACGAATGTGTAGTCAGATATTTCACCAAGTTTTCCTAAAAAACGGTGTCCAAGATCAACAATATGAATTGTTGCATTATGAAACTTCTTTAGGCAAATCAATGTGTTATAATAATCAGTATCATAACTTATTAAAATAATTGCACAATCTTGTCCAGCAAATCTAACGAATTTTCTCATCAAATCCATTATTTTCATATCAGCTGAATCGCTGTAAGCTTGAACAATATCAATATCCAGAGCTGTTGACTGGTTAACATCGAATGGTAAACTTTTAACATCACAAACACAAAAGAAAAAGATTTCATTTAAATCGAAAGGTTTAATTATATCTGATCGAATCAGGTGCACAATAGAATCAAATGATTTTCCTTTTGGTACATTGGAATTTTGAATATCCCAAAACACAGCACAAGGTTTAGCCATTTTAACTACAACAACTGTACTTTCAACACTTGATGCAAAAAAACTCAACGCTTGTTCTCATTCAATTAGCTTCATTACGTAGGTGCATTGAAGAGGCATTTATTGAAAATAACTTTATCGTATCCTAATATCCTAGTCATCTATGGGGTGTTGAGAAAGTTTATGCTCAATTTTAGGGGAAAAACATAATTTTCTGTTTATACGGCGCTGAGGGATATTTTTTCCCCTACATAAACTTTCTTAACACTCCATACAGTATTTCCTTGAGTTTGTGCCCTTTTGGAATACTGACATCTATATGCACTAGAGGGGAAAATAATTGAATTTTGCAGTTTAACAATTAGTCCGTTTTAGTGATTCCCCTTGATCCTTTCTACCAAAGAGTTATGCAGCAAGAGAAACCGTTGAAGCAAATTTTGTAAAGTTAAGAAAAAAGTTAATTTGGTCATACCTAGATGACACTAGGAGAAGATCAGCATCAATTTCAATGATTTCAATCAGTCTTCACTTCATGATTGCTTTTAGTCTGCACAGACTTTATATATTTTAATATTAATAATGATAATTTTTCAACTTTCAATCAAGGGTGAATCTACTGTCCATTCAGCTTATAGAAACAGTACATAACCTGTGCGGAGAAATTTTGGTACAGATTAGGAAAATCCTTTTTTCTCAGGAACCATATGACCTGAAGGCTTGAAATTTCTAGGAAATGATTAAGAAGCATAGACCTCTGGTCAATATAAATTTCAGAAAAATCGGTCAATTATTTAGTAAGCAATCAACATGAGTTCAGGGTGTTTGAAATCAGCAGTGCAAAAGATTTTTTTTCTCAATAATGAAAAGTGCTCTAGAGCCGAATTGGTTCGGAAATTTTGTGATATTGGTGTGCCTCGAACTTCAGCTAATCGCTATTACCTTCAACTGATAAATGATCCTGAAAATTTCATGAAAAATTCAGCTGGTCGACCCTCGATGAAAGTTACATCACAAGTTAAAAAAAAAGTGTTGGCCATGACAGACAACAAAGTTTTCCCGGGATTTAGAGCTATTGGACGGAAATTAAATATTGATGATCACACTGCCAAGAAAGTTGTTATAAAGTTAAAGGTTAATATAAAGAAAAGAAAAAAAGTGCCAAAAATTTCTTCAAAACAAGAAGATGTTATTACTGGTCGCCTCCCCCATCTCCGTAAGAGTTTGAATTATCGATCCGTCATTATGGATGACGAAACTTATTTTGATCTTAATGGACATGATTTTTATGGAGGAAGATATTTTTCTTTTGCTGAAAATGTTGATGCTGTTCCAGATGAAATAAGATTCAGATTTAAAGAAAAATTCCCTAAAAAATTAATGATATGGGCAGCAATAAGTGAAGAGGGGGTTTCAGATATTTATTATCATGAATGTAAAGGAGCAATGAATGCTGATATTTATATAAACGAATGCATCAGAAAACGTCTATTTCCATTCGTGCAAAGGCATAAAAAAAGATTGATCTTCTGGCCTGATTTGGCAAGTTCCCACTATGCAACTCGAACACTTGCAGCTTTGGAAGAACTTTCTATTAGATAGTTCCAAAGTCATGTAACCCTCCCGCTGTCCCCGAACTTCGCCCTATCGAAACCTTCTGGAGTCACCTCAAGAAAAAAGTATATTCTGATGGTTTTTCAGCTAAAAACACTGAAGAATTGATCAAAAGAATTAAGAATTGTTTAAAAAAATTCGATAAACCATATTTCCGCAGCCTCATGAAAAACATGAAAGAAAAAGTTAATCTTGCCTCTGAGGGTGGATTAAATTATTTGAGAGTAAAGTGCTGATTTCAAGCTTTCATATGATACAAAGAAATATAAATTATTCCTAACAATTAATTGTCAAATTCAATAAACTTAACTTGTACCAAAATTTCTCCGCACAGGTTAGAAGACCAATGCATTTGATTATTCAACAGCCCTTCCAGCATACCAAAGAGTTGGGAGTCCGATTCAGATTGCACTATTGTAAAGAATTTTACTGTTTTCAATTTTTCCAATGACCTGAGAATTCACTTTATTCATAACTTATATTATGAAGCTTGATTAGATCACTCAAAATACCATGGTATATAAACATCAAAAACACAGAAAAATATATTTCATTTAAAATTGTAAGGTTTAATTATAATTGATCAAATGAGATTGACGATGGAATCTAGTGTTTGTCCTTTGGGTACGTCAAAATTTTGAATAACCCAAAACACTGCACTAGATGTGCTAATTGTTCGGAATGTAAGATTAAATTGCAGTTCACATAGATGCCAGCACTTGATGCCAGCACTAATTGTAAAATCTTGCATGATCATATACAAATCAGATACCGATTAGTCGAAATAGGAATAGTTAGTAAAATTAACTTTCATTTAATTTGAAGCAAGATTTATAAAAATATAAGAAATATGAACAAATATTATAATAACGACTAAGCACATAATTTTACTTTTCTTACTTTCTTATGAATTTTATATTGCAAAATTATTTTAAATTATCTAATTAGTCATATTCAGTCATTCTAACAGACCATCTTTCAGATCAGATTGTGAGAATTCATACTTGTTCATATTCATTGTTAGTAGAGATTTTAGGTCAAATGAGTTGTGAAAAGCGAATATCAATCCATACGTTCAATATATTGTAAACATGGTGAATAAGAGGGAATAGATTGAATATCAATTTCAGTTGAGGCTTTAATAACTAAATGTTGTTTAACATGATACAATCATGGTCAATGATGTTGCCGAGTCTCGGGCAACACTTTCCACATACTGACTCAACTTCTGCAATTCTTTTCATTCTTTTTTTTCTCTTTTTCTTTTTCTTTCGACCTTTTAGTTCCTTTTTCCTTTGACGAGAGGAAATTTTAGGCATTAAACGGGCAACTTTTGTCCTTAAAAATTCACATTGACTAATCATATTTGGCAAAGATCATCTGCCTTTTATTGATTTTAGTTGAAACAAACAATATTCACCATACTAACATGAGTCGTTCATTTATTTAGATTTCGAAGCAAATACATTCGCTTGATGTAAAAGTGTCGATGATGGGAAGGTTATTCTGCTTTAATCGACAGGTTCAAGAAGAATAAGATAATTCGTCAGCTTTTGATTACATGAGCAGCTATTACGATTGAACATATGTGAGTCATTGTGTAACGACTTTCTTAGTGTTTCATAAATATTTATTAGTATTAATATAATAATGTATTGTCGTTCCATTAGGTAAAAGCATATTCATAAAAAGATGTAGATAACAATTCAGATAAAATCAAAGAGTAAAGGAAGAGTAAAGGAAGAGTAAACTTTTTGAATAAAATTCAAGAAAACTCATTCTAACTGCAATAATTTCTAGAGAATTAAAGTTGGATACAAACCGCTAACTTATATTCATTATTTCACGATTCATGGGCATTTTTTATTTATTGAATATGAGAAGATTAGAGTTATCGAAAATGCGAGTTCGGCGTCTTAGGATCGAGCTGATACTTTAGACTGACAAGGTTTGACGATTGTTTTTCCAAATGCTTTCTGATGTAATAATTAAAGTACTGAAATGGCACAGCACTGTGTCTCGAATATATATTATATATATTCGACGAACTCTTTTTTGGGTTCCTCAATTCATTTGCCAATAAATTAGCAACTTTTGGTGGAAATCTCGTGCATGATTGCGCTACAACTCCAACATCAAAATCGTCTTCATCATTATTGTGTAACAATTTGAACTTTATCCTTACAATTCTTTCTGATGCATTGTATCCTCTATCAAAATCAGCAAATCCAACATAAATTTTATCTTCAAATTCAATGTAAGCTAAACAGTCCATCCATACCAAATGCATTTCAATTATTGAGATCATTCCACGAGTAAACTTAACATCAGGATTGGTTGTTATAACGAATAAAAATTCTAGTTTTTTCATCATTGCTTCATCTGATACATCAACATCTGATGTCGATTGAACTGAAGATGAATTTAAATCTATTTTATCCTCTTTATTTTTGCTTTGCATTTTTTCGTCCACTTTTCCTTTTTCGTTAATGACGTAGTACTTGAAGATGCCGGGAAACTGCTTTTTACAGTCATCTAAACTATCAAACACTGTAAAATAGGGAACTTCAGCGGGTTTTAATTTATTGATTCTATGGCGAGCAACACTTGCTTCATGCCATGAATTGAATATCAAATTGACTTGGTATGCCGGGCCATACCGTGCTGTAGCAGCGAGTGGAATAACTTCGCTAAGATGCACCAGAATTTTAACAACCTGTTCGGCCGAGAATTTAGCACAAGACATCAAATCACAAAAATTTACATTGACAGTAATGTAGTAAACCGCTGCATTACATTCTTGTTTTTCCGTTTGTAGCAAGCTCATTCTTTCTATGATCCGTGGTTTAGCGATCGGCTCAAAACATTGTAATTGGCTCAAACGAAATGCGAATTCATAAGCATTGCCACCCAAATCATACAAATTAATAGATTCCAAAAGGGCACTGGAAGGCTTAGCCGTTGAGATTTGGAAGGCTGAGTAATCGTGACTTTTTAGTTTATTGAAAGTCGCACCTGTTACATAATCCTTTGGGCACATGATATTGTCTAAAATTATTTTAACTCGGCTCTTAAATTCTTCACAGTGGCGTGCATCAGGAAAACCAATCCAAAACTCGTCTACAACTAATTTGATGAAGATACATTTATAAGCGTAACTATACTTGCAATTTTCCATGAACTCGGCGTAGAATCAATTTTAACCACAAGACAGTGTATGTCAAGTTCTGCGGTTAAACACCAAGGAATATTAAATTTATAACGATCCAGTTTCTTTGAAAGTTGTTTGTTGAGGCCCTGTTCGTTTACGAATTCCAATTTCGAGAAATACATTGAATCAATTTTTCGTAAAACTTCTTGATAAAGTGAGACAGAATCGAAATGAGCACAATAAACATTTCCATCAAATATAACTTTTTTTGCTCCATAATCGTATAGTTTCTCAAACAGATTATAAAGTAACGACAAT